GGGCATTAAATGAATCGCCCAGTTTTGGGGTGTGCAGTGAGCTCAATCATGGTGGATCATGTATTTCACTTCTCCAAGTTATGGCAACAAGAAGGGGGTATAATCCATCTGGGGTGGCTTTGATGGGTGGTTCTATGTCAATGATTTCTACATTTTTCTTCCTGGTCCAAGTCAAGGCTTTCTTCTTTAATCAACTCAACCCTTCTGTGCCAGGTGCTGGGGCTTTGATAAACTCAATTATTTGCAGTGGACTATGAAGCAAACTATGAGATATGCCATCCTATTTAAATCATCTTGCTGTAACTATACTTGTACTTTTTATATGTGGTGGCCTGTGGTAACAGAGCTGCGGTTCTTATAACTATGAATTATTTTTGAATTTTATCATTTTTGCACTCCCGCTCCCGCATTATGTGTGATCTAAGTCGGTAGTTGCAGTGGTATTTTTTTGGTTTTTATTGTGGAATTTGAGGACAGGAAACTGTTAAGCTTGCTCTTATCTTGTCTTTTATTTTTCTCGTTTTGCTTCCTTTTGATCGAGGAAGAAGAGCAAGTGTTATTCTTAAAGTCTGCTATTTCTGTTCAGACCAACTAGGAACACTCGGTACTTCAAGCAATATTTATTGTATATGTTGTGATGTAGCCCCAAAAACAGTGCCCTTTTTAACCAATCATGTTTCTTTTGGATTTATAATCACAAGAAAAATTTTGGATATATGTAACCATTTGAAAATATCTTGCACGGGATAAATTAAAATTAAAATTGTTTTGCGAGAATTGAACTTGGTACAAATTTATCCCATTTGTAAATTACGGGTAATAATATTATTTGAACCTAATTCTTTTGCGGGAATTATGATTCCTTATCAAACTTGATGGATAATTTTTCAACAAGTGTGACAGATTAGGACAATAAATTAGATTTAAAGAGTATTATTACAATTCTTTTTCTTCTTTCCATTTGAGGAAGACAAATTTTGCAGTAGATAACAGTATTAAATGCAATTGTGTATCTGAGTACACGTTTTTGTGTCATAGAATAAGATCTCTGTCACAAGTAAGGGCTTTAAAATATGACATAGCTTGTTAGCATGATAAGAATACAACACGAAATTAAAAGGTTTGTGTCTTTCTAAAGTCACTTGTTTCATAAATGAGTGAATTTGACACAATATGATTAATAAACGAATCGGGTATGGATAAAGTCGATCAAAAAAATATACAACACGACTTGTTTATATACTAATTATACACGATTCATATATGACATCAAACCGATATGAAATGATTCGTTAGACACGAATTAGTAGCGAATTGGGCATTAGGGGTGCAACTCGGATGGGTTGAGATGTCAATCTTAACCCAACCCTACGTATTTAATCTTCAATTCTAACCCTAACCTCAACCTGAGTACCGCTGGAGTTTCATTCGGGCTGATTTCAGGTTAAAATCGAGTTGGATTTGAGTTACTTAATTCAGATTGAATTTTTGAAGTGTAAATTTGATTTCTTCAATTGTAGATCGAATTTTTTTTTAAGTAATCTAAGATGAAGGACGAGACACAAATGAAGAGAAAAGGAATGAAAAGGGAGGAATGATGAGTGAAAGAGGAAAGCTGAGAGTCTGAGACGACTCAGACGAGTAACGATTAAGAGAGGGAGGAATGACGAGTGAGAAAGGGAGGCTGAGAGTCTGTGACTAGACGAGAGACGAGTGAAAGAAGGATTTGAGAGTGATGGAGGTGTAGGGGTGAAGACTTGAAGTGAAGTAAAAGTTTAGACTCTGAAGAGTGAAGATAAATACTAATCTCAGTTACATATATTTATGTATATTCGGGTTGAACTCGACCACCCGAGGCTTGCCCAAATTCAATTCGGGTTGGAGTTTTTTTGCCTAGGCCCAACTCAAGTATTAAAAATTTTAATTCAAGCCCTTTTTTTTTGAGTTGGGCTTGGATTGAATTCGGGTCGACTCTTCTAAGTTGCACTTGCACCGCTATCAGACATAAGTATAGTATTTTTGACATGAATCTATTAAGACCTGACATAAATCCGCTTTACCCGACACGATTGATAGACCTAATCACAAGCCATTACTCAAAGAGTGACCGATTGGTTTCACCAAAATATAAATCTGGTCCCAAGAGAAAAGAGTTCATCAAAATAAATGTTTGCCCTTAGTGATTTCAGACTTCTTTTTTCTTGAATTTCCACGTAACTTAATGTTCTGAAGCTTTTCCCCCTGCTGTTTATAGACAAAGACTCATTTCAACACCATAATAGAATATGATCTTTTCATCCTTCCCAATCAAAGGAGTGAGATTATGGTGCACTATACCCATCATATGTACTTGGGGCAAATCTATGCTGATATATCTTCTAAAAACTCCGTTGTTAAACTCCAAGGTGTTATCCTAGTGATAGTTTGGCCTCTTGATACTTCTCGTGAAAGGTAAGTTAAGGGTTTTAATATCTCACAAAACGTAGTTCCTTAAAATTCACCGTCCATAGGTTTATACCCTTGTATGGAGAGACAGTTTTGCACAAAGTCTAACATTAGTCTAGTATTAAGATCCTCTCTATTACTTTTTTATACAATTTTGTTCAATAGTATATCACTTACTATGTATTCATGTGAGACCCATTATTTATATGTGAATCTCTCATCAATACACGGTGAATGATCTATCATTAAATGAAATTATGTGAAAAAGTAATAGAGAGGATCTAGGCAATTACTAAAAGGAGAGAAGGGGTTAGAAAAACTTGGCTAAAACTCAAACAATCCGATGCCACAATAAAAATATCCGAGCGCAAGCCTAGACACCTTGCAGCATAAAAAAAAAAAAAAAAAGGAAGAAACTATAGATTTTAGTGCAAATCCAATAAAAACTCACTTAATTTAATTCTAATCCTATATTATGTTGAATAGATTAGAAATAATATCATGAAATATTGAAAAAACAAACACCCATAAGGCATTTTCTTTTTGGATACTAAAACCATGTTGTATAAACTATCTGGTTCCAAGAGAAAAGAGTCCATCAAAATAAAGTCTTGAACTTTGTTTACAGCTTAATCTTCTGAAGCTTTTGGCCTTAATATCATAGCAGACTAAACTTGATCCAGCACCACAAGAGAATATGATCTCTCCATCCTTCTCAAACAAAGGTCTAAGACCACTGTACATTGGAGAAGACAATTCAATGCTGATATATTTCTCAAAAACTCCATTGTTGTGTTCCTTCAACATCCACATATTCATTGTTGATGAACTTTGATCGTTACGAGAATCATTCGTAAATAAACATAAATATCCATTCAAGGTTTCTAGACAACCGAATGTGTTTGAATTCCACGGGACTTGATTTATGATTCCAAATGTTTCTGTCTCTTAAATCAAACCAGAGAATTCCCTGGGTATTATCTTCTACATATATCATGTTGAACAGAACTCCATTAGCACATTTACTGTTTCTATATACATACCCAGAACTTGGATAATCTTGTAGCCTTCTCCAAGAAGGAGAAGAATTGTCTTCTGATAATGTGTATACCTGACTAATGATGATATGATTATTTTCTTCATCATGGTCTACAACCATTCCGATCATATCAACAATTTTATACACGTTCTTAGAAGGAAGATACCCAAAACTAATTTCATGCCAATAATCACCATCTACTTTATAGGGAAGAGCCTGCAGTTTCAGAATCTCCTTGGTGCCAGGATTACAAACAACTATCTGATTCGAGTTGCCAAAACATATCAACTCAAAGCAAGAAAGCAATTTGTTCACCACATATGAATGGGTTGGAATAGGGTTTTCTTCAAGTATACCTCCATTCATGTCCATGGAGTTAAGGTACAAAGTCCATGGACAACTTTGGGCAGGCAAGAACTCTATGTGGAGTAAGAGAGGGTTAAGCTTGGAACGATGGTGGTGAAGCTTCTTAAAATACGAGAAGGAGATCAAGTTTCGCCATTGTTTCCATATGCATCTGAGAACTTGCAGACTATTTTTGCGGAAGTCTTGAGAGTATGTCGACATTTAGTTCAGGAGGGAGGGTTTTGTTCTTGAGTTTGTCCATGGAGTTGTTGCTTGTTCTCTGTGCTTTCTTCGTGGGGTTGGGCGAATGTTTCATCTGTTTTGGGTTTTGGTGTTTTGATTTGAGAGCAAAACCTAAGTAGTAGTGGTATACTTACAAGGTTGGTGGCACTTTCACGTAGTGTGCGCCTTTGAAATTGTACTGCTATGAGGATTTCAATTCTAATTGGAATAGGAGAGTCTATTGATTGAATTGTTCGATGAGTAATGTTACTTGAAGTTTAAATTTTAATCTAATTTATTAATTTAATGATGTAATTTTATTAAAATTATTAGATCAACATTAAGTTTTAATATTTAACAGGACCTACGGTCAATCCAAAAATCATAATAAATTAGATCAATAAATTAAATAAATCAATTAAGTCTTAATAATATTGCTCTCGGCCGATATTGTAATCATGCAAAAAAGATGATATTTTTGGATAGAAAAAAATACTTATTTAAACTGAACTGAACTACTCGATCTTAGCTTGTTTTGGACTTTGTTTATTTTTTAAATGAATCAAACTTCAATAATTTTTTAGACTATTTTTTTTGTTCGTTTATATATAAAATAGTCAAGCTATTCGAGCTTGACTCATTTTTTTAAACTAACTGAACTTAAAGAATTTTTTAAACTCGTTTAAAAAAGCAAATTCGATAGGTTCAACTCTAACTCGCAAAACTCGGCTAAATTATCAGGCTAGTCCGGCATTGAACACCCTAATCCAAAGAGAACTAACCAAGAATTCAGTTATTTCATTTGGGCCCCGAACTTCAAACATTTCCGCATCGTTCACATTACCGCTGAGTTTTGCCCGCACTGACAATTACCAAATCCATGTAGACTCTCATCAAGTTCTTCCCAATACCAACCTTGATGCCATGAATATTCGACTTAGCCGGGACTGCGAGAGTGGCTAATCAGGGGCACGGAATTGTAAACCTTGAATGAACTTCGCCAATATCTGCCATTATATCAGGACTGAGCTTTACCACACAGTCCTTGAGAACGCCTTGAAGCTGCCATAACTTCATCACTCCAAAAATGGCACTGGCGACGAGAGAGTGTATCAATACGAAGGCTGCCACAAAGATCCAAGCATGAGTGACGGTAAATTAACTACATAACTTATAATTACGACACGAGAATTTAATCAACCAACAACAACTAACGGACCATATTCTCGAGAGAGAGAGATTTTATCATACCTATTGCAAGAGACACTGGATGAACATCATATTTTTTGCCATGCCAAGATATGCCTGCAGAACATTAGTGGCCCCTGCTTGATGAAGATCAGAAATTAGGACCATGAAGAATTCCTAGACAAAAAGCACTCCTTGAACAAGTTATGACTCAGTAAAACAGCAATTGTGAATCTGTGATCCACCCCACTGATCATCAAATTAACACAACACGAGCATCACCAAGCATGAAGTGGAAACCAGCACAGGTTGTCTCCACAAAGAAATCCTGATGATCACATTAACGTTAACATACATGAATTCAGCATAACATGTATGTACTTTCGCATTCCAGGTCAATCTCAACTTGCGGCAAAGCAAGGTTGCTTTAACAACATAAACATTTATTCAGAAGTGCCACAACGTAGTTCTCAGTTAAAATGCAACCTCTTCTTGCTCCAACCACTAATTTGAAACATTCAAAAACTCCCATTAAACTATTAGCCTCTTCATAGGCAATATCAGATTTCCTCATAAAAAATTCAAGCCCATGGACCATAGTTTAGGTGAACATGTCTTAGGCGCATACCAGGCAGAGAGAGAGAGAGCAGCGACTTCTGAGGCTGCATTTATAAGACCAATTGCATCAGATGACCATGATGTTATGTGGCAACAGACGCCACTTGCAATCAATCCAGATTCCAGATCTAAAGATATGAAACTACGTAGTCGTGTTTCCAACGACTCAGACAAGGATCACGGATTTAACAAGTTAATTCAAAAAGGTTATGTTTCCCCTTGTTGCGTTTTGATTTGCATGAATGGTAAAGAAACTTCCCAATGCATACTCAAAAGCTACAAAAGTTATGCTAAAATGTATTTAGAACTTATAGGCACTCCCTCACTTAAATCTTTCCAAAAATAGCCCAATTCAACATGTGTCGAGCTAAAAAAGCAAACAAAAAACAATTTTTAATCCCAAATTGCAGGAGACAAGGCATGTCAATAAGACAGGTAAACAAGTATTTGAAGAAACTGCGTCAACAGCTACCCACCCAAAGGCCCCAAGAAAGCTTAATCAAATAAAGATGCGACAAATATTAAGGTCAGCCTTAAAGGACCCAAAATTAAATGTCAGTTTCATAAGAATACCAACGAGCTAAAAAATACGATCATAACTATTGCTGAACGAACCAATATGCAGCTGCATGCACATCAACATCATGTCTGAAGCAACTAGCAACATGTAAGGCCTTTAATAATTCCACCACATATTCATGCTGAACACTTAGGTGATCTTAATTGTTCTGAATTTTATCCAATGTCATCAAAAACAACAATATAAAGGAATTAGAGTTAGGGTCCTAAGGAAATTCTCAAACTTCCATCACAAATAAATTTGCCTAGAATGACGATTCATTAGCACTACACATTGTAACAGAAACGAAGCTTCTGTGGTATAAAATATTAACAATCATATTCACAGAGCACTTCAGTTGTTGCGTTTTTTGTTGTTTTGAAGTTGCACAACATGCATAAATTGAGCCTATTTCTCAGAAGGAGATAATAAGTTGCATGCACAATTGCTGGTCGATAAATTAGATGCAAGTTAACTACCTCACATGATGACAGCACTCGGCCAACCCAGAATCAAAATTTCGGCTGAACAAGTTGTATGAGTTCTACAACAAAGATAATGACTCATGCATCACCTTACGATATATATCACAGAAAGAGGGGCGGGGGGGTATGTGTGTTGGTAGTGTTTTTGTTTTTTAGTTTT